TGACAGAACAACATCCTGAGTGGTTGAGTGGCAGTGGTTGACAGGAAGAAATGTCTGAGTGGCTGAGTGGCTGACTGGACGAAAAACCTGAGTGGCTGACATTAAGAAATGTCTGAGTGGCTGAGAGGCTGACAGGGAGAAAAGCCTGAGTGGCTGACAGGAAGAAAAGCCTGAGCGGCTGAGTGGTTGAGTGGCTGGTGTGGAGTAGTCGTCGCAGTAGAAGTAGTATTGGTAGTAGCTGATCCTTACTTGTACAATTGGACAGCTGTTCTACTGGAGTCAAAGTCGACGCAAAAACTGAAGTCTGTCTCCTTTGGCTAAAGCACCCTCTTTCTCTAACATTATAGATACACAAATGTTTACCCTTATTTTTGTCCCAATGCGTACAAAAGCGGGAGGAAAATTTTACCCTCCAGATTGCCATAGCAATAAGCCAGCTATTTCATCAAGAGACTATATTCCTTATACCGTTTTTCGAGGACTTATCCTGCACTACGGACGCCCTAGTGCATTTACAGTCCTTGTGATGCCAGAAATGTTTTCCCTATTTCCGACCCAATGCGTACAAAAGCGGGTGGTAAATTTACCCACCAGATTCGCTATAACAATAAACCAGCTATTTCATCAAGACACTCTGTTCCTTATACCTTGTTTGAAGACTTATCCTGCACTACGGAGGGCCTGGTGCATTTACAGTCCTTGTGATGTCAGAAATGCTTACCCCTATTTCGGACGCAATGCATACAAAAGCGGGGGGTAAATTTAACCCACAGATTTGCAATAACAATAAGCCAGCTATTTTGTCAAGACACTCTATTCCTTATATGTTTGTGCCTAAGTATGCGTGTGTCTGCCAACATATCCAGGTGGATGTTAGGATGTAGGGATGTTCCAGGCACTGCGACTCCCCCGTGAGGGCTCCGTAGCTCTATGTTTGCGCTTGTGCTTTGCAGCCAATGCCGATCCTCATTGCGCGAAAGGGCTGCTGACAACTGCTACGTTACATGCCAAGAACAATAGGCCCCGTGCTCCAAGGAGCAATCAGCCCAGTGCTGTTTATGAAGCATGCGCGTCACCATCATTAGTGTGCTGTAGCTCACTTGCCGACTGTTTTTCAAACAAATATTATATAAACAAGTAGAACAACTATATATATATATATAGATATAGATATATATGAGTTATACATGTATAAATAAATACATCAATATTTATATATATATATGTTTTTTACGAAAGCCAGCCGATAGGCTAGGCTGGAGTTGTCGATGGGCAAACGAAGTGAGTATTAGGGGGTGTGGGGGGGTGGTCGCACAGAGGCCAATCTGGGAGGGCAAACCCAGAGCCTGGTGAGGGAGAGCAACAAAAAGTGCGTCAGCTTGGGTGCGTCAGAACATGCATGGTTTTTGGGGTGTGGTGATGCAAGAGATGTAATTGACGGCGAAGAGTGCATCATTAGCATCATGAAGAGTCTTCTACCAGGGGTGGGAGTTCATGTCGACGATAGGAAAGGGAACTCCTCCAGGAATGGGAGATGTGCGTCTCTGGAGGCTACTTAAATAGTATTTGACCAGGGTGAAAGGGAGGTGTGCGTCTCTCAACGCTGGGCCAGCTTTGAGTTGCTTGGGGGTGCCCTTTTTTAATGGTGAAGAGGCATGGAAGCCAGACGCAACAAGGCACCCCATATGAGGTGGGCCATATGGGGTGGGAGTTCATGTGGAAGACAGGCGCAGCGGAGGAGGACGTGGTGGAAAAGAGGGATTGCCAGAAATGATGCGGGAACAGAATGTAGTGGGCAAGCTTTGAGGTGCGTGGTAGTGCCCTTTTTATGGTGAAGACGCCTGTTAACCATACGCAAAAGGGAACCGCATACGGGGTGGGAGTTCATGTGGAGGATAGGCGTAGCCAGGGAGGACGTGTCAGAGCTCTGTGGATCCATGTGGGCGTAATCCCTTAAACGGGGCGCAAGTTTCCGCTTCGCAAGCAAGATTGTCTATTCGGGGAAGGAGTTTATGTATGATGTGATATATATATATATACATATGTCTATAATGTATATATATGTTTATAATTGTGAAAGCCACCTCTCCACAGCAATCTGTCCTTGATGTTATGCAATCCATGATCTTCGCAGTAGACTTCCCCCGATCCGCTCTTGGTGGCACGCCATGACTCCGTCTACAAGAGTTCATTCGGGGTGTCCTTTTTCAGCTTGACAACGCCCTGGAACCACGAAAAAAAAGGGCACCCCCCCGTATTATGTATTCTGCCTTCTGGTTTCTACCACCCGCTGGCGTGGCTACCGTGCCGACCTCACCCCATTACAATGCTCTCACTTGATCTTGGCTGTAACGTCGGACCACCATCTACAAAGCAAGGATAACGAACAGCGTGCAAGCCCATCGATTCCTTCCAGGTGCCTTTTGTCAGCCTCAAAGCACCCTTAAGTCAAAGGAAAAAGGGCACCTACCCCATTGAGACACTCACTTGATCTTGGCTGTAACATCGGACTTAAGTCAAAGGACAAAGCGCCCCCCAAACCTGTATTCCTGCTTTCTATTTCCAACAGCAGTAGACATCACCGCCGTGTCGACTTCCCCCCATAACAATACGACCCACTCTTAAGAGCGCACCAGGTTTATGAGTCCATCCACAAAACACGAGAAGCAAACCGCAGACAAGCAATGACTTCGGGGTGCCCTTGTTTCTCTTCCAAACGCCCCTTCGTCCAAAAAATAGGCCCCCCACCCCCCCACCTGTGACTGAAGGCCTGTCATATCGGCCCCGCCTTATGCCTCCCAGCACTTCCCCCGCGCTCTCGCGTTCACCCCCGTTGACCGCATTGATATCTTCTTACGACGGCCGGCTTTCGTCCCCTCCCCTCCCTTCTCAGGTGTTTCCAGCGGGTCTTGTTGAGAAGTGTGGCAATTTCAGTGTGTCGCCTGTTTCTTTGTGAGAGTCCCTTTTGAATCAATCTCAGCTTGGAAAGGTCCTGCTAATTTTCAGGGTCTCAAGCCATGCAGGTGTGTACAGGAAAGGGCATCACCAGCGTGCGCGTATCCGACGAAGGAGGCGCAAGGGTGCGCGGATTTTAAGACAACAATGGAAGCAATGCTGGCACATGAGCATCAGTTCTGCCGCCGTCAGGTGGCATCCCCACCGACTCCTTGACGCACGTATGGTCCTATCTCTACACCACAGCGCAGCCCATGGACATTCCAGTCACCAGGCCAATTTTTGACAGAGAGTGTGGAACACTTGTGGTTTGAGACACGAAAAGAGGCCGAACTTCTATATGCTAACAAGAGGATGGTCGAAGGGTGATTCGACTCCAAGTCGTTCCAGGTCCCCAGTCTCCCAGGTTTGAACAAGTATTGAAAATGACAAGGTCGCCAGGTGTATGAAGTGTATGTGATTTGCACAGGACACACCTGTGAAGAGGGTATAGTCCTCGGTCCCTCGGTCGTTTTTGCTTGCGGCTGTGGCCAGGGAGGGCGTGGACGCACCCACGGAGCTCCAACGGTTGGAGATGTCCATCGAGCCCAGAACCAGTCGCTTGGCAAAAGAGCAGGAACGGATCTGGGGTCGAGGAAAGACTGATGCCCAGATAGTTTGTTTCACAGGAAGGATTCGGAAAAGGCACAACATTTTCAGACGAAAATATTGGGGCTTGCCGGAGTCTTTGTGAGACACCCTGAACATGCTTTGTGCACCTGAACTATGATAGAGCAGTTTGGGTCTCTGTTTTTTGGGTCCCTGTCCGACTCTGTCCTGTCCGTATCGCGTGAGTCATGCGTTCCAGGCCTCTCGCTCATCGATGAGACCTCTGAGGAACATCGGATCCTTTTGAGGTGGCGCAAGACCAGCAACAAAAATGTAGAATAGAACTTGAACAGGACAGGAGCGTTTGTTCCTCCTGGATGTTCCTTCATGGGGCAAATTCAATTCAGCTGATGTATTTGGCTGGGGGTAAGCACTTTGGGTTTCCAATGGTTTCCATGTATGTTTGAGGGAGGGAATTGAACAATCTAGAACCTCCCTTTTGCTTGACAGAAGAGTTCGTCTCATTTCAGGTCACCCTCGCACCCTCGCAGGTCGCCCTTGGCGGGTCTGGGCTGTGGCTTGCCCTTGAGCAAGTTGTATGCCGAATACCTGGGTGGTCGGATGAAGCTCCAGACCATGCCGAGGCCAGGCACGAACTTACCTCGCCACCAAGGCTGAATTGCGAGGATGGATCCGAATCTGGGGAGCATTTTTGCGTAAGTGGGGGAGTCATGTTCACCTGGTTCATTGGAATCTATTTGGTGATGCCACGAAACGCTGCTAGATGCTGGGCAGGTATGGCACAGATGTGTTCGTCTATTTGAACAGCGTTGGAAACAGATGCTTGGCTGAAAGTTGGGCCTTCTGTCTTGCCCCCTGAATTCCTGCAACACTCTGCGGTTTGCCCGAGGTTCCGAAGTGCTGAACACGCTCTGAAGCTGGGTTCCGAAGCTGGATGCCTGGTTGCGCGACAGTCGCCCAAAAAGATGTCTTAAGTTGTTGTCAGCATGCACAAAACCACAGGACGAAGCTGCAGCTTTCTAGGGCCGAAAGCAGAGGGATTCATAGGGTGGCGGTGGTTTGGACCACCGTTCTTTGCGGTCCGTTTTTAGGCCGTTTCCAGTTGTCCAGGTGAGGCTTCCGAACGGTGAGCTGCAGGACTTCACCCGCGCAGACCTGGCGGCGCTGAGCCAGCCATGACCGACGGTACAGTTGAAGGAAGCTGAGCTGGGATGGATCTTAGGCCTTTGTGGGATGCGTTTGGATGGAAACCAGAGCAGGAACATTGTACAGAAGTGTGAAATCATTCCAAGTCAGAGACTTGGAAGCTGGATGCTTTCGCAAAGAACGAAAGTTTAACAGTCCCAATGGCGGCGCCAATTGTGCAGAGAAGATCATTCGGTGCAAAAGATGTCAAGATGTCAGAGGAAGTTGAGTCAGTGTCATTAACTGCAGAGGTATATCCTGGAGAAGGAGCGTGTGGATTCCAGAAGGCACGCGAAAGTTCTTGATGGATCTTTCAGAGGGCATTCCTTCCCGGACGAAAGAACCAAGGAGTTCTGCAGGTTGACAAAACAAAGATGTCCACATACACGGGCCAATGACAGGGGCTTGGACGCGTTCTGCAGTGCCATGTTTTGATGGTGTGAGTATGTATATACATATATATATATACATACACACATGTGAACGATGTGGTGTTCCACCAGGCCGCCTGCCTGGGGAAAGATCAAGCGATTCTGGCCCGTTTGCTGCTGCGCTCAATGGGCAAGCTGGGCATTCACCGAAACGCGCAGACCTCGCCTTTCAAGGGTTTCACCATGTTTCAGCTGTGGGTCATGATGCACAATATACTTAAACCGCTTAAACATCCTAGAATTGCAAGTCGTATCTCAACTACCGATGGTCCATCGCCAGGTTGATGGAGCGCGAGACGCGGTCCGGCCAGTGGGACTGGGCCGGGACTCCAGGGCCGTCAAGCCTTTGGGGATGTTCATGCGAGATCTGGGTGACTCCATCTAAGGCCACCGTGCCAGACCATCACGAACCCCAATTTGCATTCATTTTCAGGTCTGCAGGTCTGCATCAAGGGACCAATTGGTGGGATGAAGAGGAGAGGGGGAGTCGCTGAATAAAGTCGCTCGGATTTCGATTGTGGCGAGGTCGTTTGGGCGGACTGCGATACGTATTTCATGAACATGAGGCTCACGGGACCGATTGAACGGCAGGATCTGGGCCTTTTATTCTTTTTAAGCGGCGGTCGTGAGAAATGGATCATTTCTTGGGGTCAGACATTGTTTGAGCATTTACATCAGTTGCATCCCAATCTCCAGCGAGCCTCTGGCGAGCCAGCTTTCAATGCACCGGTTCATAGTTCATGACACACCTTCTTTGTGTCTATAATCGCTGCCCAGTACGACCTTGGACAGTGTCCTTTTCACCTATGCTGGTGTGGCAGATGGTGACTGGGCTTTGAAGCACGGCTTTCACCGGTTGCCTTTTCTCAAGATTTTCTTCCCATGAACGTAATGAACGCTTTCGAACCTTATCTTGCCAGCACATTTGCGAGCATGGCAAGTTATGCCTTTCAGTTTCCAACTGAGGTGAGCAGTTGACGCTGGATCCTGAGGCGAATCCGATATCGTTCAGTTTGGGCATTCCTGACATTGTGTTATGCGTTTTGTGCTTACTTGAGGGGATGCTGTTTGGTTGTGCAACCCCTCAAAAGAGACGGAGGCAGACGCTTGCGTATGTGAACTGCCACCAAGATTCGCCAATATGTCTCATCACTGCAGAATGCCTTTCACCAAACCAACCCACTTTTGTTTTTCGTTTGCACCGTTGAACCTTGATCCAGAGTGCTTTTCACTGGGTGCTTCGTGCTTCCTCGGTTTTTTGATGTTTTTTGTATACATACAACAGCTTACTTTTTTCATCTCTTCCACAAGCAGGAACTGTTCCACTGATTTGGTGATGTGGATAGGTCCACATGATCGTCAGCGAGGACAATGCCATGCTCAACACCGGCATCTTCTTTGCGCGCAGCAGCTCTTGGGCCTCCCAGCTCCTGCAGCGTATTTGGGGCCGCCTGGCAGGGAAAAAAGAGACCCTCCTCAGCTCACGGCGGGTTTTCGGGATGTTTTTCTTCGACGCAAGCTTTGTTTGATACTTTTTCCTGCAGATGTTCTTTCCAGGGAACAGCGGGTTGACATCAGTGCTGCTGGAGGCAGAATTCATGGAGATGGCATTGATTACCATGACAAAACCTGGTGGGACGATGTCGATGGTGGAGAAAAGATTGATGAATTCTGATGTCGATACGCAGGATTACTGTACATGTTCTGCGGTTCTTGTGGTTCTAGCCATTCTAGCCTTCCATTTCCATAGAGAAGCCAGGGAGGCCCACAGCAGACCTCTCCAAAGCAGACGTGGGCCACGGTGGGCCGCGAAAGCCCTGTGCGGCCGAGGTTCCGACACTTCGCCCTGGATCGATCATCCGTGGTGCGGAGATCCATAGTGTTCCAGTGCGATGGTCTTGGGTGCTCCTCACTTAAAGGGACTCCCGGAGTCTTTGTTAGGTCCACACCGAATGAGGGGGAAGGAAGAAGATACATCGAAATAAGAAATAGACACCCCTCACACAACTTGCGCTCCAGTCTGAGGCGCTCCTCACAGACCTTCCCTATTCAGGGGGTTCTCGAGGGTAGAATGTACACCACATGTATGTATCAAAAGCGTGCAATGCGTCTCTACAATCTCTAGTGGACAGAGAAATGTATGCGCAAATTCCTAATTCCGCCTCGGGGCAAATTCAGGGGTCGAAGTCGAGATCAAGAACCTCAAGCTTGGATCCAATGCATTTGCGAACTCGTTGGTATAGATTATGGCGGGTCAAAAAAGGGTCGGTCCGGAGGCAAATCTACTGCAGTCTGGCAATGTGACAAGTTTGGGACGAACGGCACTCGAACATTAGGAGGATAGAGCTGGCCAGGTTGGGTGGAGCATTCCCGAAGCAAAGCAATAGCCAGCTCTGTCTGCAGCAAATTAGGTCTAGAAGCTATGCCCCCGGTCAAGCTCCGGTGGAATCCTAACCGAACCACGGTGGAGGCCCCTGTCGTCTTATATCGAGGGTATAAATGGCGGCCTGTGCTGCTTTCCAAATTTTTGACCACCGCTCGAAAGTTATGGGCCTGGTGCCAAAGACTTTTAACCTCCGGTTTTTGAATGGCAACTTCGGGAGAATCAAAATCATATGGCCACGCAAAGCTTTTGTCTTTGTGCCGGATCCAGACAGGCAAAGACCGACCTGCATACAACAAAAAATGCACAGCGAGCTGATACCACGTAATGCCAAAATCTGTACGGACCAAATGCATATCTGAATGCCGCCACGTTAATTGTTGAAAAACGATCTAGGTGGATATGGCAATTCGCGCTGCATTTTTCTTTTGTCGATAAGAAATAGACCCCCCAAAAGAGAAGGCGTGGTCCTTGGCGGTTTCTTGCAGTGTTGCTTTCCAGTGCCCTTCATGTGCAGTTTGCCCCTGGGCAGTTTGCTCTTGGGTCCTTGGCCCCTTGGCCTCTTGCTCCGCTCGAAGTGGTGGCTGAGGTGGGAGAATGCAGCCTTTACGTGGCAGTTCCTGAAGGACTGGCAGACACGATGTTCCCTCGGCTCGACACACTCTGTCTCAATGGAAGATCTCGAAGATGATCCTATGGCCCTATGGAAGATCAGTGTAGAGCATTTTTGGCGGGTCTCTTGTCTGCAATTATGTTATTTTTTTTTGTGTGTGTGTGTGTGTGCAATCATGCCACTTTCTTGATGGATCCTCACGCAGGACAATGCCAAGAAGTTTGCCTTAGAGGATCTGGAGGAAGGGATCCAGCTAAGCTTGCAAATCCGGTTTGGAGATGTTTAGCTATCCAGGCAGGGGTTTGAAGCAGAATCAGGAGCCGACTGAAGACGCTTGAAGGCAAAGTTTTGAAAGTTTCATTCCAAGCGGCTGCAAGATTGACGTGTGCAGGCCACTCCTTTCAAACGAGACGCTTGATCGATTTGCGAGTGGAGCATGAGCATGGTATGTTTGGGCCATTATCCTCCTGCGGTCTTTGAAAGACCGGTGCGAGGACTGGGCTGCCAAAGGAAAAGATGATATGTGGGGTGTGTTGACCTCAGAGATAGAGGTTTTCTCGGTTACAACTGAACTCCAAGCTTGCTTCTTCCCACACACTTCACGCCGATTTGAGGATGTAGTCTAATCTGTTTATTTGGAGTAGTCCACCAGGATCGCCCTGTTTGACCCACACTCATGTCGCTTGGAGCTGGGCGGCCTGGCCTGTGTTCCGCCCATGCGCGGCGCGGCTCGCGGCTGGAGCGGCGCGGTGCGATCAGGTCTACCCTGATGAGGTCCGAGTGGCTCCGCAGCGGGGGGCCTGGAGGTGCATGATCCATTGACCGAATCATATAATACTATTATACGCTATAAAACTATGACATATATATAATCCAAGACTCAAAGATAGAAGAAATTCCCGAATATTCAGAATTTCCATATTCTATTTGAAACTGCTTCTGGCGCGCGCGAAAAAAGCATTCAAATAGAAGAAAAGGGCTTCGCCAGAGCATAAAAGAGGTGCTTTATCATGTTATATAGCTACTTTTGCAAAAACCACTAAATAGCCTAATATCTAATATCTTCTGTTTGAAATCTGTCCGGTGAGGCACATCTTCTATTTGAAATGCTTGTTTTGGATCTTCTATTTGATTTCATTTTTGGTCCACGCAGATTGTTTCCTTCCTCCGGTCCGTTGTTTCTTCACTGCAGATGGCATCTCTGGGAAATATGCCAGCATTGGTGAATAGATCTGATAGATAGATACATAGATACATATTCACAACAAAACAGCAAGAATATCCAGAAACATGGGAAGGTGTGCTTGGTGCAGGCGCTCAGTTTCAAATAGAAGATATTACCAGATTATTTTGTAACACCAAAATAATCACATATACATTTCTTCTATTTGATGTGCTTGGTTGCTTTGGCAATATCTTCTATTTGACCTTCACTTGTTGTTCTGCTGTCTTGTGGATCTGACCTTCAGAAAAAGCTAAAAAACTCGGGTTTTTTACCTTTTGTACTGGGATTCTGGACATCTTGGGTTGTGCACTAGGTCCTCTGATTTTGGGGTTTAACTTGCACCGTCTGTCCCGGCTAAATGTTGGACAAGATCATCCAAAACTTCAAGAATTCACTGTAAATACCATGAAATCCTGCCTCTCTTGCAAGACCGTTCAAATAGAAGATATTGGAGTTCAGAGTGCCCAAACAACATCAAAAAAGCATCAACAAAGCACCTCTTGCACAAGGCATTGTCTTCTATCTAAAGCCTTGTTTGGAAACCACCAAAATTGCACCTTCTATTTGAAATATTCGAAACATTTCTTCTATCTCTGCGTCCCGGATTATATATATATATTGCATATATTATATTATATTGTGTTATGTTATATATTATGTTATGTTATATTATGGTCTACAGTCATCCTTCTGATTTCCTGATTTATAATATATAATATACATATATATACTTAATATGATATATATATATAATATAATCTATATATATATATATGTTGATAAACATTGTGTGTCGATTGATTATATCGTGCAGACCAACTGAAACTAAAGGGCAACATATCCTTTTTTCCATGCGGTGCTTGCTCTACAGCGGGAGCATGTCCAGAACCATCCCCAGCACTGAAATCTGAAAAGACGCCCAGGTCTCACTTCAACTCCTACCACCCCATCACTTCCAGATTTCAGCACGATACTTGGGAGGCTCAGTGGTTGGATTTCTTCCTTTTCTGTTTTCTTTGTTTCTATTAGCGATGGCCTCCAACCTAGAAGCGATTGCCTCCAACCTAGAAGCGATTAGCTCCAACCTAGAAGCGATGGCCTCCAACCTAGAAGCGCCTCCAACCTAGAAGCGCCTCCAACCTAGAAGCGCTGGCCTCCAACCTGGAAGCGATGGCCTCCAACCTAGAAGCGATGGCCTCCAAGTCTGTATGTCAGTTTGGCTTCTGATGTTTCTCTTTTCGGGCCATGACAAACCAGTGCAAGTGGCTGGCCTGAGAGGAAGGGAAATTTGTCATCGCCTTCAACGGTGTTCTCAGTGCCAGCAGTCCTACTGTGGTGCGCTTTGGGGGAGTGACCAGGAGACAAGGACAGCGGAATCAGCCAAGGCTTTGCAGGACGGTGCTTTAAAGTGTTTAAGTTTTAAAGGTTTATCCGGGTGAAGCCTAGGATCGAATGAGGCTGAGGGACCCAGGCTGCTTGGACCTCAATTTGCCAAAGGGGGTTGATGAGTTGGCATTGGGAGAGTTTCAGTTGGCTGGTGTTGCTCGGAGATGCCTGCCCCTCAATTTTACATTGGCCCCATTCACAGCACTGTCCGTGCAATAGCAACTCCTGCATTCGTCGATCATGCCATCTTGCCTCAAGTCCAGTGGGCTTGGCGGTTTGTTCCTGTATGCTGCGAAGCTTGGCTTTGTCTCCGAGCACCCAGATGCTGAAGGCCGGCAAGTTTTATCTCCAAAACAAAGGTTCCCACAGAGGACAAACAGTTCAATTGTGGGCAGCATCCATTCCCTGTTTTGGTTCAATCCTTCGTCTGCTGGGCCTTTCGCCCTTAGCTATTTGGTATCAATCAGGAAGGGATCGTTGAACACTGAGTCCGGACTCGGAAAGCTAGGTGCTCTGCCTTTGTGCCATCGGTGCATTTGGCTTTCCCATCACCTCACTTGAAGTCACGAAGGCGCGGGGTCAGGGGGCACATAGATATGACTCCTTAGTCTCAGAACGAAGGGTCCATAGCTACTTTGGGGCCTTTTGGCACTGTCTTGTCCTATCTATTTGGGCACAAAAGACCCAGCACCATTGAGCACCATGCTAGGTGATGAGCACCGCGATTTTTCCTATTCTGTTCATACCTATGCTGGGCAAATCCTGCACAATTGGCACTCACCTTCGGCCAAAGCAAACCACCGAAGCCGGCGCGGTCCATTGGCTCACTTTGATGGACGGAGCAATGTTTGCCCATCAGATTCCACCAACACCCTAGGTGAACATTCTCTAGTTGGTTCATTCTCCATGCTGTTTAACATTGAGGTTTTTGGAACACTCTTCTCGTGCCAGGCCCAGTTTTTGCAGCTCAACTCCAGCGGAGATCAGGATCCGTTCCTCGGTGTGGGAGAAATGCTTGTTTTTCGACTTGTGGGCGGTGGTGATTCTTGTCATAAACCATAAAGTCTCAGAAAACACATCCGTTGGTTTTCACACCCATGGTGCTTTGGCCCTGAATGATCCGACCTTCGTTGAAGATGCTTTTGTTTTGGATGGCTTTTCGTCCTTTAACATCCTCCCACTTGGGAAGCACGATGAAGCATGTGCAAAAGTTTTGGAGGCACCTTTTTAGGGAGGGACCGCCACCCCCAGAAGTGAGGGTCTCTGACAATTTCTTTCAAGTTGCTTCAAAAAAGGAAGGCCGAGAATCCAATGTTCCCGCAAAAGCACAAACTTGCCAGGCCCCAGGTTTGTTGTTGGTGACGAATCAAGTACAGTAGTTTGATGTTCCGCGTGCCCTCTTTTCGTTAATTTAAAGAACGGCCTTGAATGCTTGATGGGAGACATGAGATCGAACCCTTTAGATTCACAGCCACAATCTTTCTTGTTGACGTAGAGGTTTCTTGTATTCCTCATGTTTGGCTGCCCTGGAGTTGCTCTATTTTGATTCACATCGCCACTGCCCGAACTCCTCCAAGGTTGGCCACCAGCCTTCTGCTACCCGAACTAAGAATTTTGGCTGCGCACGTTGTGGGAGAGAGCTTGAGTTCTGGGAACTTGCTGAATACAACAGCTACTTATCCCGTATACCCCAATTTGTGGTTTTCTAGAACGCAAAAGTGTCAGTGCAAGTTCCAGAGCAGGCCGAGCAAGTTCCGGAGCAGGTTCCGGAGGAGGTGAGCAAGTTCCCGAAAGGTTGCGGAGATTCGAGAGGAGGTTCTGGTGGAGGTTCCGGAGCAAGTTCTGGCAAGTTCAGATATGCTGGCATGGTGTTTTGCTGGCGTTTGTCATGGTGGCTTGTTGCTGACGTGCTGTCATGCCGTCAGGCTACCTTGCTTGCATGATGCGCGCTGCCATGTCGATGTTCAAAAATGATGCCACTCTGTCATGCTGACTTGCAAACATGCTGTCATCTTTTTTGCGACGCTGAGATGCTGAGGTGCTGCCACGCTGAGTGACATGGTGTCATGTTGGTGTGTTTGTATGTAATGCTGTCATGCAGACGCGCAGACCATATGTTGGCATGGTGCCACCCTTCTGTCATGGTGACGTCATTCTGGCACGTTGACGCAATGTGATGCTGAGATGCTGACGTCGGGTCATGCTGTCGTGCTGACATGCCGGCAAGCTCCACTGTGAATTCCGGAGCAGGTTCCCTGCTTCTTGGATGGCAGGGCGCTGCGGAAGCGTCATGCCTGTACATATGTGGGCACATGTGCTATGCCGACATGTTGCCGTGTTGTGATGAAAGTGCGTTGAAGAGGCTCACGTGCTTCAAAGCAACATTGTCCGGCAAAGACACGGCACTCGCCGGTGAACTTGCAATGTTGGTATTGCATAGGCGGACTCATGCCCAACTGTTGGGGCTTTTCTTGGGCTTAGTATTTCTATTTCCATTCTTTCAAGCATGTGGGTGGCGCATTGCCTGAACGCCTGCTTCTTTTTTTCTGTGGCTTGAAGGACGCTTCTTCAGCAGTGCGCAAGCTGCAATTTCAGTGGGCCCTGGTGACATCGCATCTTGCTTGAATTGGTTGCTAACGAAGCCAGGCAGTGTGAGCAAGGATGTTCTTTCAACGACACAGCAACTCAAGCGCCAGCCAAGATCATTGAAAATCGTTTCCCGGACACTGTCATTGATGATAACTGCCACCACAAGGCGTCAAGCAATGAAGTGTTATGTTTGCACACATTGGGTGGATTTTTGGGCAACAATGCACGGGTGCCTGATGCCGCCTGGAGGTTGAAGCACTGAATGGCCATGCGAAAGGAGACGTCAGGAACACAAGCGCAGGTCTCAGAATTCCAGCATTTCTCGCTGCGAGGTCTTCCAAACAAGCAGTAACTTCTTAGAAGCACGCCCCGCCCAAATTTCCCTCACACTTTGCATTTTGTTTCTGTCTTGTGGTGTCCTGATCTCTAGGCTTCCTGACCGGTCGAGTCAAAGTATCTTGGAACCTTCTTCGCATATTGACATGCAACAATTTCTTGCGTGCAGTAGGCATGGTGTGTGCACCAAGGGGTGCCAACTTAGGAGATCGGTCTCTGTGTTTGTTGACGCAGAGCTGGTCGCCACGTTGGACATTGGTGGTCTCTCGGCACCCAAGACTCCAACAAAGGGACGAAGAGTGGCAACCAGAAAACATGCTCTGATGGAATGACTTGTGATGGATGTCCAAATGTAATACTTTCGTTTGGACAGCTTCTTGCGCTCCAGGTGATGTGCGGGTTCGGGTTGGAGAAGAGATCTTTGGCCACCACTGCACACAGCTTGCTCGGTGTCTTGGACTGTTTCCTGAAGTGTTTTCATGTAGACACTTGATTATATTCCAACCCCCCAAGTCTGAAGGGGGTCTATATTCATCAAGAGTCTACACTAATGTGATTCACGGTTTGTATGTTTTTGTTCTTCAGTTGGAACCAGCCTGAAGCTTTTCTGGATGCATTATGGCTCATGCCAAACATTGAGGAAAACCATGGGTCTGAATGTAGCTGCTTAGCAGAAGATACACATGTGTGTTGTGAGTTAGCAGCAGAGTGTTGTCCCTCGCGGGCACACAAGAACACTCCAACCAAGCCAGTGGCTTCAACGAAGGACTCCGATGGCAAGAACGGTGTTGGTATCAATATGACTGCATCAAATGCCCGCTTGGAGCACCTGAAGCTTTGAATGAGCTAGTGTATCAAAGAAAAAACATAGTAGCTTAAGTAACTACTAGCAATGGCCTCCAACCTACCCTCTGACTCACTAACATGGAAGTGGAAAATGGTCCCTTGGAAGACTACTTTCCTCTACCAACAACGGGTTTTCCACTTCCATGTGAGTCAGAGTGTAATAGCAATGGCCTCCAACCTAATAGCGATAGCCAACCTAATAGAAGTGGCTTCCAACCTAATAGAGATGGCCTGTAACTTAAGAGCGATGGCCTCCAACGTAAGAGAGAGCGATGGTCTCTTTAGCCTTTGTGTTGGGCTAACCTTTGTGTTATGCCTTGGGCTAAATTTCTTGACATTGTGTAAGGAATGGAACTTGGTACTTGGCCTTCAACTTCCATGCAGATGTGGTTGGCACTGTCCTTGAATGGATTCTTGTCTGGCTCTTCATTCCACTATTCTTTCAGACGGCTTGACAGTTGGACAGTTGAGGGGGCACTACACTGGTCATGAGTTGTGTTGCTTTGTCATTGGGACCTGGGGGTCTTGTAGAGTCAAAAGGAGGCTGGCCGTGGCTATCCCATGAGGAACGTTGATAAGATAACAGCCCATGGATGCAAGATCAAGATCCTCGACGTGGAAATCGCATCTGTGCAGCTCAATTGCAGCGCCATTTGTCGTTTTTGGAGAGTTGGCATGTTCCAATCCTGTTCCTGTTTGTGTCCTGAGGTGTGGCTATGTTGAGCGACACGTAAAGGACAAGTTGCAGTCACTGCTGAATTCTGTCTTTGGGCATGCAGGGAGTTGTGCCTTTTTGGCTTTGATCCTATTGAACTGCCGGTTTGAAACCATCTGAAAACACGGAACACAAATGACTCAGGTTGAACGCATTGATGCACCCAAGATTTTGCACAAGCTCGAGGAGAAAATCAACACTGAGAAGCTTGGCTGGAGAAGCCTCACGATCCATTTTGGTGGTCGGTGAACCCCCAGATGGTGCCAAGGATTGGGTCCGTTGTGAAGTGGGGACCTCAGCTGAGCCAAAATGTGACCTTTGAAAGCAGGTTAGGGCTGAAGATTCCAGATTGATTGTTGATTTCAGGATTCCATTGAATATTCCTGCGGAAGGCCTGGTGATTTGAATGTTTTGATTGGCGAGTTTGGCACAACGCATGAAGTTCATGCAGCTGGTCAAATGCCACGCAGAGGAGCTTGACCACAGGAGAAGAAAAAAGGGGGTGTCAGCTTGGCACAGACTCGCACAGTATACT